ACGTAGTCGACCGCGGTTCGCGTCTCGGACCCGGTGGCTTAGAACTCACGCCGGGCACATGTGCGTGCGTGCCCAAGATCCCGAGAGGAGAATGGAGGAGAAGGGATTGCGGCGTGGCCATCCCCCTGGGGGGTGATTTCTCGCTTTCTGTCTCTATGTCTCTCTCTGTCTGGCGAGTGCACACGCCCTATAGCGAAAAAAATCTCTCAAAAAAAAAAAAAAAACTTGCAGCTATCAAAAGTAAAGGAAACTTTGGAGGAAGAAGAACAGTCATTAGAGAGCTATGCTTTGGCAAGCATTCCCCAGGGGCAGATTTCCTGGTAATAATCTATAGGAATCAAAACGAAGCCTTGTGGAACTGATGAAATGTTTGAAAACCTCTCTCCCAACCACCTTCTAATCTAACTGAGAGCCTTTCAATCTCCCCATGTAATCCCTTAAGAACAGTCACAGAACCAAAGTGTTCACCAAGCATATGTATAGAATTGACATGGTTCATTTTTGCATTCAATAACGTATACTGAACGTCTACCATGTGCCAGACATCATGCCAAGAGTCAAGTTCACCAAGGCAAGTAATTCGAGCTCTCTTCTGTTCTGGAATTCATACCATAGTAGGATTTACAGACTAATAAAGAAGCCACAGGTGGAAGCAAGAGAAATACTTGGTTGTACTTGTGGGAGGGTTCATAGAGGGGTTCCAGGAGGAAAATACAGATTGGAATTAGGATAGATTTTAGGACAGGGACCAGCAGTTAGCGTAATGACTATGTCGCTGGACTCCCATGTAGTCTACCGCAGTTTGAGTCCCGGATCCGGTGGCTTAAACTCACGCCGGGCGCGTGTGCATGTGTGCCCAAGATGCCGAGAGGAGAATGGAGGAGAAGGGATTGCAGCGTGGCCATCCCCCCTGGGGGATGGGGGGATTTCTCGCTTTCTGTCTCTCTGTCTCTCTCTGTCTTTCTGGCGAGCACACACGCCCTATAGCAAAAACCTCTCCAAAAAAAAATATATATATATATATATATTTCAGGACCAGTTGGGTGATAAGAGCCAGGAAAATGCCCTAAAAAATATTAAACTCTGAACTGAGAGTAAATATGGAAAAGTTTATTTATTTACATCCCAAAGTCCCAAGTCAGTAACAGAAGCAAAATTACAACTCAGAAAAAGTCCCAATGTGCCTTTCTCCTGTTTCCTTGGCAGCTGCTTCGTTCAGCGCCACACAGCTGGGTAAGCGAGCTGCAGATGGAATACTGGCAGCCAAAATCTCTTTAGAGACAAATGACACTGTGATTTTCCTTGACACCCTTTGAAATTCCTCACTAATTTCCAAAAATAGCTCATGTTGCTTTTAAAACAACCAGTGGGGCCCAGACATTTCAGTAAAACAAATCAGAGAAACAAAGTAATCCCAGCTGTCTGAGGATTCACAGCCCAAACCAGGTAGGCTGGAGAGAACAATCACTTACTGACTAAGGCAGTCCTGGGACACCCTGCAGCTGAGGTCCCCACTAAGAGCATCCTGGCCAAGGGAAGACACAAATAATTTCCTCCCTTTTCATTCGCCTCTGTTCCTGTCCTTCAGCCATTTGTCCAATCAGTAGTGACAGAGTTGAGAAACCAGAGAGCAAAGACTGCATTCAAAACAGGGCAAAGAGCTTTAAGGAGCAGAGTGAGCAGGCTCCACTCAGAGTCCAACTTCGCTGTTTCTTCGCTGTTTCTTTCTTTCTTTTCTTTTTCTTTTTTTTTTTTTTTTTGGAGGTTTTTTGCTATAGGGCACACATGCGCTCACCAGAAAGACAGAGAGAGACAGAGAGACAGAAAGCGAGAAATCATCCCCCAGGGGAGATGGCCACGCCACAGTCCCTTCTCCTCCATTCTTGTCTCGGGATCTTGGACACGCACGCACACATGCCTGGCGTTGAGTTTAAGCCACCAGGTCCGGGACTTGAACCGTGGTCGACTACATGGGAGTCTAGCGACATAGCCATTGCGCTAACTGCTGATCCCCCAACTTCGCTGTTTCTAAAGGTCTATGCAAGAAGTTTGAGAGTAATGAGTAAGAGATTAAGTAAAGAAGAGGATTTCTTTCTCTCAGGAGGTAGGAAGATGTATTCTTAAATGCAAAGTACATCCTGAAACTCCTAATTAGAAAGAAAAGCAGAAGTTCTGGCACACTTGCTGATATTCCAATGATCCAGTTGCCAGGTGTTTGATACCAAAGACCAACCCAGAAACCCTCAGAAAGAATGGCACTAGGCTGGGGACTTAGTTGCCGAAGTGAGTTGATTTGATCTGACCTTAGGGGTCTTTTTACTTCTTAAAGTCCTACTCTTTCTACAGTTCAGATAGATTAAAAAAAAAAAAGACTGGGGCTCTAAATTATGAGTTCTCCATCCTTCACTACCAGAGATAGTCGTTTGCCTAAGGTCACAGAAGATAGCGCCACTACCCATACTTGTCTGACACTGCTTCTTCAGCTCATCCATCTACCTGCCCAAAGTCCTGCAGACAGCCTGACATGGCTCAGTAGAAACATCCTTTCTGAGAGGAATCTTCTCTGCCAGGCTTGAAATGACAACTGTGTCTCCCCTGCTGATTATGGCTCAGGCAGGGAGCTACGATCAGGGCACCAACTCCCATCAAGGCAAAGCAGGTAAGGTGAAGTGAAGAAACCAACACCTGCAGTGGCCTACACCCATGTCTGGCACAGCCTCAATGTCCCTGTAAGGTAACTGTAACTTCCCCATTTGCAAATGGGAAAATTAAGACTTGGAGATGTAACTTGCCCAGCTACTGCTAAACTGCAAAGCAGGATTCAAAACCATGGACTATTAGACCTGCGAAGCCAGTGCTCCTTTCACATAGAGGTGATGTGGGCAGTGACACCACCCAGACAGCGAGTCACAAGCTATTACAAGCAGGTTTTACCCAGGAAGGTGCTATCTTCCTGTGGCAGTGCCCCACCTCTCCCTACACCTACGATGATGGGTGAAGACCTGGCTTCCCCAGGTTTAGACTGGGTTGCCGGCAAATCCTTTTCTAAACCCAGCCTTCACTAGACAAGCCGCCAGCCCTCTAAGCTCCTTGAGAGTCAGGAGACTCCGGACAGAAATCCTGCTTGGACTAACAAATATCTGCTGAGCTCCTAAAATAGACACGCTCCCTGCTGGCAATGGGAATGTAAATAAAAATAAGATACAATTTCTGCTCTAAATAATCTTAAAGTCCACTGTGGGAAACAAACAATCAGACAATTATAATAAAGGTGATAAGTGATATGACCCAACGCATTCCGCAGGAGGACTCTGCCATTGGGTGGAGGTAGGGTAGTAGGAAAAGGTAGTTAGGATTTTTCCAAGAAGCAGCAGCAGCCCATGCAAAATCCAGGCATATGGAAGACTATAACATGTCCTTAAGCCTGCAAATATAAAGAAACTTCAAAACATTCATGGAAAAAATAGAATTAAAATACACGTTTATTTGGGAGTAAGAACACTTTTTGAAATCTTTGGGCCATGCCCACAGCACAAGTAGTTAGGCGCTATGTAGAGCAGTGATCCCCAGCCCTTTCGGCACCAGGGACCAGTTTCGTAGAAGACAATTTTTCCATGGACTGGGGGGTAGGAGGATGGGTTTGGGGATGATTGAAGCACATTATATGTATTGTGCACTTTATTTCTACGATTACATTGTAATACATAATGAAATAATTACACAGCTCACCTTAACTCCGAATTTGCAGCCATTCCCCAGAACCACCACCTCTACGCCACCTCAGGTCATCAGGATTCAATTATCATAAGCAGCATGCAACCTAGATCCCTCATGCGCAGTTCACAGAAGGGTTAGCGTTCCTATGAAAACCTAACGCCACCGCTGAACCGAGAAGAGGCAGAGCTGCTGTAAGGTAAGCAACTAGGAGCAGCTGCAAATACAGATGAAGCTTCACTAGCTCTCTGACTGCTCACCTCCTGCTGTGTAGCTCTGTTTCTACTAGGCCACAGATCAGTATCTGTCCATGGCCCAGGGCGTGGGGACCCCATGTGTAGAAGGAGCCAGATCCCACATGACTAACTTCCATGGTTCTAGTCCCAGCTCCAGCTTCTTAAAAAATATGCCAGGTGTGTGTGCACAAGAATCCAGGATCTTGTTGGCAAAGAGGAAAAAAGCAAACAGGATTGTGCCATGCCCGTTGTGGGATACTTTCTCATGCATGCGTCTCTCTCTCTCTCTCTCTCTCTCTCTCTCTCTCTCTCTCTCTCTGGCACATCCATCTACCCTGTAGCATTAAAAAATAATAATAAAAATTATAAAGTTTTGAAAAACATGCATAATTTTCTCATAATATGCATTTTCCATGCACTTTTTGATGACCTTGCATATTTTTCTGTAGATGGGAGTATGGAGTAGAAGTGGGGAAGTGGCAAAAGTGAAACAGAAGATGATCAGGAGGATGTAGGGACCACAGAGGAGATATCTAGAGGCAGAAGGATCATACTTGCAGAATGTTCTGCTTCTTCAGGCCCTTGTGCCTGTGCAGTTTTCTCTCTCCTGGGAATATCCTTAGGACATAAAGTTTGACAAAGTTCTAGTTCTACTCAATTCTCAGGGCTCAGTTCAGGTTCCCTCTTCTGAGTATTCCAAGCAGAAGCAAATCTTTTCCTCATGTTGCTGGAACATTTTGTGTTAAAAAGTATCAAAGGTACAAAAAATCTACCTCCTTCATAGGACTTAACACTCCACTGTATTTGCATTTAAAACTTGTTTGTAGTTGTTTTATATCGGTCTCCCTAAAAACGTTAATTCTTTGAAGGCAGAAGCCATACCATGTTCACTTTTAGTCTCCCAAATATGGGCCTGCAGTGGGTACGTAGCCTATGTTAGTTGAGTGAACAACCTAACTTGTGAACTTGTTGGTCATATGTCTCCGAGGAAGTTGTTGGTGGTTGGTGACTAACACCAACCACCTCTATAACGGTCAAGATTTCTCATGGGCTGACAGCTGCTGATCTATCTGGGTAGGGCAACCAGGAGAACACCAGCCCCTGCAGAGTCACCCCCCACCCAAGTGAAGCCATGCTGCGGACCTGTGCCCTTGTCTACCTTGTCTTCTGTTCAGGTAAGAATCACCCTTTGGGCCCCTTACTTTTAGGGGAATGTGTCCCTAGAGCAATTTGCCAGGGACCCAAAAGGGAGGATTACAGCTGAACGTGGCTCCAATCCTCCATCCTCTGGGGTAGAGAGCATTCTTCACAGCCTTTTTGACTTTGGGCTTTTTATTCCAGGGGTTTCATTGGATATAACTCTGGAACCAGACGCCGAAACTCTGACTGTTTCAGTTGGAGAGCCTGCTACCTTCCGTTGCAGCGTAACAGGAGGGGACCTGAAGAACTATCAAATGAGCTGGTATAAGAAGAATGAAAATAATTCCCTGGTTTTAGTATACAAATTAAGAAACAATTCTAATGATGATTTAGAGAATAATTTCAAAGGAAAAACTGATACTTTAAGAAGTCAATTTATACTTGACATTCAAAAAGCAACAGCCAAAGATGTTGGAACTTACTACTGTGGGTCAGATATGCACAGTGCTACAGCCCTGTTTCTGATCACTACAGAAACTCACAGTCAAGCAGATCCAGTTAGAGACTACACAGTGCTAAAATGCCTGAGATAAGACCACTTGATAACCTCAACAGTAATAGCTGATAAGAGAAGCCAGGGACCAACTGGGGCAAGGGCATTATCTTTGCAGTTGACTTGAAGGGCCTTCTTTTTGAATGGTTCAGCAATTTGTTTTAAAAAATGCTTTTTCGGGACCAGCAGTTGACGTAATGGCTATGTTGCTGGACTCCCTTGTAGTCAACCACGGTTCGAGTCCTGGACCTGGTAGCTTAAACTCATGCCAGATGTGTATACATGCATACCCAAGAGAAGGATGGAAGAGAAGGGACTGTGGCATGGCCATTCCCCCTGGGGGGTGATTTCTCGCTTTCTGTCTCTCTGTCTCTCTCTGTCTTTCTGGCAAGTACACATGCCCTATAGCAGAAAACCTCTCCAAAAAATAAATAAAATGAAATAAAATAAAATAAAATAAATGTTTTTTTCAATTGAAACATGAAATTTTCTCCCTTCCTGATCCCTTCGCAATTGGAAAATATTTGTGAGCATTCTTATTTTGTGGCAGAGTGGTTATTTGTGGAAGTTCAGTAATACAATAATATCTGTTGCCTTGCAAAAGAAATTGAATTCTTATGGGGCTTTGTGCAAATAACAGACCAAACTGAGATTAACCTAATTTTGGCTTTTTTTGGTTTTGGGGGGGTTTTTTTTGCAAATAAGTTAGTTTATATCTCTCTTCAGTAACAGGAGGGATAGAGAGAAAAAAATGTTTCAGAAGAAAATTACACTGCATTTGTCACTAGATTTTATTTTGTCCATATTTTTAGTTTAAGATCTTTTGTGAACTAATAAAATGTGGGGAAAAAATTTAGTATGGAAGGGAGGGAGGGGAAATGGGAAAGGATAAAAAAAGTAAAAGTATGTTTAATTGACAAAAAAATGAGAAGCTATTGCTGATGATAAAGTATACAGTACTACCTTTGTCTTGACTGACATGCATGATATTTGTGCTAGCAAAAGAAATGTACACTGTAAAGAAATATGATTAAATGTAATTTTTTTAAAAAAATGTTTTTAAGGGCCTTCTTTACTAGCCGAAGAGGGCAGAAAAGACTTAGTGTTTATGTGGAGAGACTAGGGACCCTGTACCTGTCTTTCACAGACTCCTGAGGACAGGCTCAAAATAACAACTCTCAGTGTGGAAAAGACCCTGTCATGTGGAGACAGGCTGAAATAGACAGGATTTTTATTATCTTGAGGGCCATAACTCATTGCAAGTCTTTATTATGAAAGTGTTTATGTGCATAAACTAGATAAAGCAAAGATGGTTTTCCATTACCATCCTAATCAAAATTTCCAAAGGCATTATAGATAGCTTTAACTCTTACTCTATGAAGAAGGATGAATAGAGTCATTTTAAATGTTTCCATAACTATGTCAGTTATTGAATGTTTTATACGTTCCCTTAGCTACAGAGGAGTCCTGGAGACTCCTGGGGAGTGGCAGAGAGGAACAACAAGCAGGTTTCCTTCTTGCTGATTGCTAAGCAGGCTCTGGGAGGCTAACACTTGCAGCAATGTGGAATTTCTGAGTTGGTCTTGAATCCACTGAATAAAAAGTATAGATTCCTGAGTCCCAAAGTTGAAAGGAGCCAGAGAGTCTGAGATTACAGTGAACTAAGACCTGTAACACTGAGCAGACTAGCAGGCAGGGGATTTGAAGATATAAACATTTAATAATCATCAAGGGAGTACTTTCATCGTGTAGGCTCTAGCAGCTACCTCTTTGTTTTGCTCAAGTATCTGTCTGGAACCTTCTCCCCACATAAGGTTAAAACTCAGGCGTTAGAATAAAGAATCCACATGAGTGTAAAAACACGAAGGGGCCAGCAGGTAACATGGTGGTTAAAGGTGCTGGACTCCCACATGTCGACCATGGTTCAAATCCTGAACCTGGCAGCTTGCTTTCTCACTTTCCCTCTCTCACTCTCTCTGTCTCTCTCATTCTGTCCCTTTCTGGTCATAAATAAATAAATAAATAAATAAATGTTAAATAAAATAATTCTTTCAAAGAAAAAAGGCAAAGCAAAAGCCATCTCTCCTGAAGCCTTCTACTCTATATTCCTACCAATGCCCTATCATCTTCAATACATATAGAGTACTTACTGTATTCATGGAATTGAGATCAGCCATAGGAATAGAAAGAGTTCTGGGACCAGCAGATGGCATGGTGGTTAAGGTGCTGGACACTTCCACATGGCCAATCATGGTTCAAGTCCTAGACCTGGAGGCTTGCTTTCTCACTTTCCCTCTTTCTCTCTCTCTCTCTCTCTGTCTCTCTGGTCAAACTAAAATAAAATGAATGAATAAATAAAATTAAATAAATAATTCTGGAAAAAAGAAAGGAATAGAAAAAGTTCTAAGCCAGGTTCTTGTCTAAGTTCTATTCTCACCAGTGTGTTTACAACTTATTTCTAAAAGACAGAGCATTAGAAATTATAACTAAAGATTTCAAAAGAGGGCTGGCTCTATGGCCTGGTGAATAAGGCAACCAGATCCCACATGACTGACCCTGCGGTTTGATCCCAGGCGCAGCAGCTTAAGAAATATGCCAGGCACATGTGCAAGTGCGCCAAAATCATGAAAGGTGTGTGAAATGGAGGAGAAGAAATCGGCAATGACCATGCTTCATGGAGGGTGCTTTCTTTTCTCCCTCTCCATCTCTCTCTGGAGACCACATGCACCCTCTAACAGGAAACATAAAAATATTACATAAGATTTAAAAATATAAGACAGCTTATAGTATACAGCAACGAGTGTTACTGACTTCATGTGCAGGGCCCTAGGAGTCCATGACAGGACCTACCACTATGAGAAAAGTTTCTTAAAACAGCTGAGGTTATAAAGAGGCAGCACCTAGATAGGCGTGAAGAAGGAGGGTAGGTATATTAGATGAGTGCACCAGTATACGTTTTTACAAACTACCTCAAAATTTAGAAGCTGAAAATATCTATGATGTTACACTTTCTGTATAATCTTGGAATCCCGGTTGGTTTCATTGAATCTGTTGGAACCAGGTCCTCTTTCAGACCCTAGTCAAGATATTGCCTGGGGTTGCAGAACTCTCAAGGACTGACTGGAAAGGCTCTGCTTCACGCTCACTCACAGGCCTGACAGGCCGTTAGTCCTTATGGGCTTCCCCATGGGGTTTCTCATGACATGGCAGCTTGCTTCCCAAAAGAGAGGACTCCAAGAGAGGACATCCAAGTGGAATGTATGGTCTTTTTGTAACCTCATCTTGGAAGTGACATCCCATTGCTTCTGCCAATTTCTATTTGGTAGAAACAAGTCAGTAAGTGCACCCCACATTCAAGGAGGGATCACATGAGAGAAAGAATACCAGGAGGTGGGTTCTGGGGGTCCACCCTGGAGGGAGTTAAATCAGTAGAGCAAAGAAAAATGGAGCTTGAAAACTCTAATTGTAACCAATTTATTTAGAGACCTCTGACTGCAAGGCTAAAGTGAGCTGGTTTTATCTTACAAGTCAGTGTTTCTTGAACTTCATTGTGCATACAAAACACTTGGAGAGATTACAAGACAGATTTTTGAGCCTAGGCTATAAACATTCTAATTTGGTCCATACAAGGACAGGCCTAGGAACATGTATTTATAACAAGTACCCTAGGTGATTTTAATGTAGTTGGTCCAAGGACATACTCTGAGAAATTCTGCTTTAAGCAAAGAGGAATTAAATTCGTTGACTTTTTGATACAATGAGCATGTGTCCAGCTTCTTCTGCCCTGACTATAGAGAAATGAACATTAGATGTGACCAAGGCATCTCTAGAACAATGATTTTGAATTTCATCCACATATTGGAATCACCTGTGACAATTCTTTGAAAATACTAATGTCTGGGATATGTTCTCCGAAATTTTGAATGACTTGGGGGACCAGCAAGTGGCATAATGGTTACATTGCTGGACTCCCACGTAGTTAACAGCAGTTCAAGTCATGGACCTAGTGGCTTAAAACATGCCAGGCACATGTGCGAGCATGCCCAAAGTCCCAAAAGAAGAATGGAGAAGGAGGGATCGAAGCATGGCCATGCCCCACTGGGACGTGATTTCTCACTTTCTCACTTTCTGTCTCTCTGTCTCTCTGTTTCTCTGGCAAGCACATGTACCCTATAGCAAAAATTTCTATCAAAAAAAAAAAAGAAAGAAAGAAAGAAAAAAAGAAATTCTGATTGAATTGTGAGCTTGGATCTCTGGCTTCTCAAGTAATTCAATCTCTCTCCCTCCTTTCACTGTTCTCTCCCTCCAAAGTTGAAAACCACCTGACTAAGATTTTGCTATTGTAAAAGTGGTCCAGACCAACCACATCAGCATCACCTGGAAGGTTTTCAGAAAGCAGAATTTCAAGTGCAATCCTAGATGTAAGGAATTATAATCTACATTGTTTTAGTTGCCAGAGGACATGTGCACTCACCAGATAGAGTAAGCGCACCCCCACAATGAGGCACGGTCATGTCATAACCTTTTCCCTCCATTTCTCCATCCCATCAGTATTTGGACCACGCATGCTCACCTATGTCATATTTTTTAAACTGCCAGCATTGGGATTCAAACCATAGTAGGCCATGTGGGATCCAGCTCTCCATGCTCAGGCCATAACCACTGTACTACAGGGCTCACCCAGAATCTCTATTTTATTTATTTTTTTTGGGGGGGGGAAAGGTTTTTGCTTTAGGGCACGTGCACTCACCAGAAAGAGAGAGACAGAGAGACAGAAAGTGAGAAATCACCTCCAGGGGGGATGGCCACACCACAATCCCTTTTCCTTCATTCTCCTCTCAGGATCTTGGGCATGCATGGGTCCAGGACGTGAACCACGGTCAGCTACATGGGAATCCAGTGACATAGCCATTACACCAACTGCTGGCCCCCAGAATTTACAAGGGAACAAGATTCTCCAGGTAAGTTGTAAGCACATTAAGGTTAACAAGCACTAGCCTAAAAATTTATCATTACTAAAGATTTTTATGGAGATAGAAATATATATATATCAATATCTCCTAAGTGATCACCTAAGAATCTGTATTTGTAAAAATCTCCTGAAAGAGAAAGAGCCAGGCAGTGGCACAGTGATAATGCAACCAGGCCCACAAGGGCAGGACCTGGGTGCATGCCTAGAACGTCCCTATGCCTGTGGGCGTGTTCTAGACTGGC